ATCACTCACATTCTGGAAGCTCATCAAATTTCCATGTCCAACTATCCCTTCATCACTGTTTCAAAGTATTATAATTCTAGAGCCTTTGCTAGTATGGGATATGTGAGTGTAAAGGGCTCAGGGGTTAAGAAGCACGATAGTGAAGCAAAACATGCTCCTATAGAGCCCAAACCTTCACCCTTTGTTCCTCATCCCAGTCCTGGTAATGCTGATCTTGGTGACAAGCTTCGTGTCATTGACTCTCAACTCTCAGAAATCAAAAGTCTTCTCACAGCCACTCAGTCTACTGTTGGTGACATTCATGCCATCTTCAAGGAAACATGGTCTAATGTGTCCAAAATTAGAGTTGTTATTCTCAAAGTTAGGGAGAATGTGGTCAAAGCCTTCAGGGAAATTCATGACAGGTTGGATGGAGTGAGCATCTCAGCCAATGCTAGCTTGACCAATTGAAGGAGGCCATCTGCAACACCCTTAATTATTTCTGCACCGATAAGACAATTTTTTTGTTTTGCTGGTTGTGGGAAGTTTTCTCAGCCATTGAAAAATATCTATAACTCTACTGTTTAATGCTATATATTCTGGTTAGTTATTGGCTTGTTCCCTCTTTGGTGATGCCAAAAAAGGGGAGAAGAGTATATGTTGTATCAATACAGGTACAATTGCCCGTTGGCAGGAGTCAACTCTAACCATGGACTAGTCAACTGCACGAACTGAGGGGGAGTACCATGGACTAGTCAATTGCATACATTGAGGGGGAGTAAAATATAGGGAAGTCAACTAGTGTTTACACCTATATATTACTTTGTCATCATCAAAAGGGGGAGATTGTTAGATCTAGTTTTAATGATGCAAATAATATATCTATGCAGGAAATCAATTACAGAAGAACAAGGAATCAAGAAGATACTACAAGATCGCTGAAGTCAATCTTGATGCTTAAGGAAAGAAAACAATCAGCAAAGATTATGAATCAATCAGCAAATCTGGATGCCTAAGGAAAGAAATCAATCAACAAAGATTGCGGACAGATGCGATGGAAAGAATCAAGCAAGCGTAAACTTAAGGCATTAATCAAGGCCAACATATCCGGAAGATCGAAGATCCTGTAAAGATTTCTAAGTGGCTAATTTTGGAAGGACCAATAATCAAGGAGTAAATCTTCATCATAAACAACTGTTGAAGGAAGGATATCAAGGAAGAGCAACGACTAGCTATCTTATTCTTGGAAAGAATCAATCTCTTTCCAAGGATCAAATCTTCTGGGTTGTCAAGCCTCATCAACAATCAATCTTCACCAAAGTATTTATACCCTGATTTAAACCTTAGACAATCATACTTTGATCGAACCAAAAAAAACTTCTCTTTGTTCTACTGCAAACAAACATTGTAGTTCTCTAAGATCTGTTGTGTAACAAGTTAGAGAAAAAAGGAGAGTACAACACTGGTGAGGCATTATATCAAAAAGAAACGAGTGTTAGAGGAACTGAGTTATCAAGTCATTTCCACTGTACTCGAAGAAACACATTTACTAAAGAGAACTCCCTTGCAACCCAAGGGGACTGGACTAGGATTCACATTAAATCCAAACCAGTATAAAATTCTGGTGTCTTTAATTCCCGCACTTACTTTCTGTATCTTACTTTCTGTTATTATAACTGTTAGGTCATTACATCTAATCGACTAATTGACAAACTAGTCAACTAATAAGAGAATAAGTTTAAAAATATACAATTCATCCCCTCTTGTACTTTCACATATCAGCACTCCCTTCCTAGGTTCTTCTTCGTCCTCTCCTCTCTCTCCAAATGTTTCTTAATTTTTTCTAGCTAGGTAGATTGCCTGAGAAATTTTCCGATCAGTACTATCGTAGAATTGATTTTCTTTAAAGTTGTGACAATTAATTCGTTGTAGTGGACAATTAGCGTGACCTCCTCAGTAGCAGGAATTGATTGGCATTGCGCTTGGGCGATTTGGACCACTAGAACGCCATCTCCGACCAATTGAAGCCCGCCGAAGAGTTGCAGGTCTTCAGAAGTGGCAATTCCTACAGTGATATCTCCTGATTTTTGGTGGAGAGGTAGTTCTTGGTGTGGAGAACAATCTCTACAGCTTGGAATTGCAAGATTGAAAGGTTAAAAATTGAAGAATAGTCAGACCCGATGAATTGAAGTAGTTTTTCTCTAAATCTGACCCGATAAATTTTTCTATTTTTTATTATTAATTATTTATCTTTTTTAATTATTTATTATATTCACGCGCTTAATACCGATGATTAATACGCAATTAGCCACATCAGCTATAATATTGCCACCTAAGCATAGTCAACGGTCAAAGGTATTTATTATTAGACATTTTCTCAAGTTCGAATGTTCAAATGGGAAAATCCAAAGTTCATGTATCAGCTTTCAAAAGCCTTACAAGTTTAAGTGGCCAGGAAGCCATTTCGTCTTCTTTTTAAATATATCTTTTTTAAGTTCCTCTACTTTTGCTCTAAATACTCGGTTGATTAGATCAGGCCAATTTTGAACTTCTTGAGATGGTAATAAATGGGTTTTTATTTCAGGGCAAGAAGGATTGCACGTCATTGTCAAGAATATGTCAGGTTTTCCATAACGTTGTACTAATGCAATAACATCCATATATCTTCGACGCATATCTCTCGGGCCTCCAATAAAACCAACAGGAAGAATATTTTTTCCCCAATATTTGAGGCATCTCTTTCTCCTTGTCTTAACAAATCAAGAATCCCTTGTAGTACTGCAGTTCTGAATAAATCTTGGTTAAAGGAAAAGAAATTTAGTCTTTGTGTCTCAAGTTTTATGTATTGGTCAACAATATACTATTGAAACATCCTTCCAGAATGTAAGGTTTCATTTGGTTCATTCTCTCTTATTTGAATTTTGTAACAATAATATTTATGGCAAGAAACCGTTTCTCTTTTCTGTTTCCTTTTGATAAAACTTCAGATTCCATATCAAGTAGTCCATCGATTGAAGTCATGTTTGTTATACTTGCCAGTTGTTCACATTCGTAGAAATTTTGTGACTTGTATAGCTATATGTTTTCTTAATTTTTTTAATACCACAATGACATCCATTCTGACCATATGGGAATAACAATGGATATTGTAATGAGTCATAACATCCATAGTAATAATAATTTACCAACTGGCTTCTGTTACTATGAGTGTATATTCGAATATGCGATATAGAAATGTTGTTATTTGTTTGTTTTTTTGTCCATATTACCCCAACTTCGGATGAAGTAGGTAAGTTATATGTTCTTTAGTCTAAACCAGAATCAGATTTAAGTGCATTGTAAAAGTCAGATAATTCTGGTATATCTGTTAATGACTTGAGAAAAATAGAATATGGATTAACCATTAGTATTTCCATTAGTTTCTTGACAACTGTTTCATTAAACTTGTCTGATAAGCTCATTCGATTCCTTATCTCATTTTCATTATCATAAAAGTACAATTGTAAATTTTTTGCTCTTTTTGCTGAAGGAATTAAATTGTTAATAAAGTGATACATTTTTCCCTGAACTTTAAATGTATATATACTGTGATTTCTCTTTGCTAATACTCTATCGTAGTTAATACCAAAGGAGGCAAATGCAAACATATTATTGTAGGTTCTACTATAAGTACGAAAATGTTTAGATTCTTCAGTGTTACCTAAATATAAATTCCGTAACTCTATAGGCATTTGATGAGAAATCAATTTTATTGATCCGCTATCACAACAAAAATTTGGTAATTCATATTGGAATCTTCTTGCTCCACAAAATTTACAAACTGGAACTTCTTTTAAATGTACATAACTTTTTAGCAACAAGTCATTATTATGTAATTCGACTCCTAATTTATTTTACCTATATATAATAAATTATGACAAGGTTATGGAAAGAGACAGTAATATGATATTATGAGATTATATTCTTGGCAAATAGATAAATACCTCTATGTGCAGTAGCTACTGGAGTTGAGCTTCTTGCATTACATGTATCTGAAGATGATCCTGACATTGCAATGGTTAATGTTTAGGCATGTATAGCTATTTAAATGTACATAATTTTTTAGCAACAAGTCATCATTATGTAATTCGACTTTCAAATTTATTTTACCTGTACATGATAAATTATGACAACGTTATGGAAAGAGACAATAATATGATATTATGAGATTATATTCTTTGCAAATAGACACATATCTCTATGTGCAATAGCTGCTCGAGTTGAGCTTCTTGCATTACATGTACGTGTAGATGATCCTAACATTGCAATGGTTAATGTTTAGGCATGTATAACTAATCAGTAAGGTAATTTGTATAGTTGAAATATTTAAAGTACTATTTATGGACGCTTGCCTACTTCAAAGATGGACAAGCAATCAATCATATTATTTCCATTGTCGATAATAATTGGCATATTTGTAGCTGCAGAAGCATGACGTAACAAATGAAAGAAACTAAAAGGTAACTTTAATGATTATAGACCTTTGTATGCAACTACGCATCACAATATACTTATTTATATATGCGCATACAATATTGTGTGTATGCTATGTATGGCTTCTCTGAGAAGTTAGACAACAATAAGCTTTTGTACCTTCTTCTGAATCTAATAGAGGATCGGCAAATGTAAGAGCTCTCTTGCTTTGAGATTGAGTACCAGCTTTCATTAAGGATAGTGTATTACTCGATTGAGGATTAAATCACTACAGTATTTTCGGCCTATAGTCACATTAATTATAGACAACGCTTGAAAAATGTGGCTAAAAGTATCTATAGATACGTATTATAAGTGTGGCCTTTGATTAGAGTCTTCGGCTACAGTTTTTAAGGCCACCCTTAAAAAGCGTGTTCTTACATTTGTAAAGACAACACTTTTTAAGTGTTGCTAACTCACAAATTATCTAGCAACGCTTATTAATTGTAATGCAACGTTTTTGAAGAGCTATTATATTATCATACTAATTGTAACGTTTTTAAGCGTACCACTACAGAAAATATTTCCCCCCAAAATATTACACTTAATGAAAATATTTTCCCCCAAATCCCAATACAAGGCAAAAAAATCATCGCCCAAATACTAGTGAAAAAACTTTTCCCAATTATTTTCTCTCCTCTGTCGCTTCACCCTAGCTTCATCGTCTCCAGTTACCTAATGCTTGTCATTCATTGCTCCATGTATCTTCCAGATTACTGTCAATCATAACAAATCTCCATCCCTTTCTCTATTGGTTAGTATTTTTTTTAATTTACTCAAAACTTTTTCGTTTTTTTCAATTTCTAGTTTTGTTCAGTATACTTTAAGATTCAATTTTTCTAGTTTCTTACTAATGGGGTGAAAAAATAATCTTCTATTATGTATAATATCTGGGTATTTTGGTACAATCTTTGTTTTATACTCAAAGTTTCTAACTTTTTCTAATTTCAGATTCTTGGGCTGAAAAGAGTAATTTCGTTTTGTTTAATTTTTGGGTATCAAAGTTTTCAATTTCTTACTAATTTCAGCTTGTTGGGCTGAAAAAAGTAATATGTTTTGTTTATTTTTGGTTTTGTTCTTTGTCGGAACACAGAGATGATTTTTTTTATTTTCTTTGATGTAATTTGTAGTTCTCAAACAAAGAGAACAACGAGGAACCATCAAATATGTTTTGTTTATTTTTGGTTTTGTACTTTGTATGAATTCTAGTTTTAAGATCGTATTGATTATGATTGGTTCCATTTCTTGTGTAGTTTGCAGCGTTTAAAAATGTACTCGAAAGGCTTAGGCTTTAACCTTAGGCTTTTTATTGGAAAAAAAAAAAGATTTAAGTTTAGTCTGAAACTCGATAGGGCTTTCTTAAAAGCCGATTGATAGGGAAGAAGAAGAGACTGGTGAGGGTCAAAGCAATGCGGTTTTGTTGTTAATTGGATAAGTTAGTGATGACCAGCATTGGATGTGTGAGAGGTTGACATTGGAGGGAGAGGTAGAGGTAGGCCAAACAAGAGATGGGGAGAGGTGATTAGGCAAGAATTTTTTTGTTTTTCATTAGTGATGGAGGTTTTTATTATAGAATTTGTTGTTTTTAATCTCACTTATTTGTTTATGATGAGTTTTATCTCTAACCTTGCTGCTTATTGTATGTGTGTTTACACTTTTTGAAAGAAAGAGTTTGGTACTACAGTAGTTCGCATTATTTTCGTTTCTTGCTGCTAAAATTTGATTCCATTATCTCTGTATATCCTGAATTGTGTATGCAATTTTGTTTATTTACTTCTTCATGTCAATTGTTTGCTTGTGATAATTTTTTTTCTCTCTAAAGTTTGCTGGTTTATATTAGCTTCCATTGCGAGACTGTTTACTGTTTTCTTTAAAGTTCCATTATTCATCTATATTTCAATGTGTTTATTTATGTTGCTAAGACACTTATTTGATTATGATGATTTTTCTGTCTACTGTTTGCTGTTTTTATGACCCGGAAACAGTCTCTCTACCCCTCCGTGGTAGCGGTAAAGTCTACGTATACTCTACGCTCCCCAAACCCCACTAGTGGAATTATTACTGGGTTGTTGTTGTTGTTTACTGCTTTTATGATTTTTATGCTAATTTTAGAGTTTTTCTTTTAAATTTTCCATTCTTTGTCTATATTCTAGCTTGACTACGCAAATTGTCTTCAATTACGTCTTCACCACTCCTATTTTATTTATGATGGGGTTTTTATGTAAAGTTTGCTGCTTTATATGAGTTTTCTCTAAGGTATTATTAAGTTGTAACTTTTAGTATTTGGTTGCCAAAAGTGGGGAAATACCGTAGGCTGCGGCAACTCCTTGCGTGGTGGGACTGCTTTCCCGATCCTAATAGTTGATGCTTTTTAGGAAATTTATATACCCTTTAAAAGCTGACACTTGCCACATGAAATCCCCAATATTACCACCACAGAATCTTAAAGGCCCGAGCAATCAACTGTCGGTCTGATTCTGTTGATTTTTCTTTTGTGAATGCGTTAAGAATTAGGTCTATGTTTTCACATTTTTTTCGTTTCATTCAAAGGGTGGCCTATAGTAATAAAGATTGCTATGATTTTGTTGATGTAGATAGACCTCGGCTCTCTGTAGCATCCTAATATAAGGAATAAAAATGCATATGCTTCTGTATATATTAATGGTTTATAGAAATGCTATGTGTGAGTACAGTTGAAGGAGTGGTAAAAACTAAAGCTCAATTTCTGATGCCTTCAATCCATTGCTTGGGAAAGAGGCAGTTGCTGTGATATTTAGGAGGTCAATTCCACTTAAAAGAAATATCATTTTGAGACTAGTCATGTTTGTGCATATAAAACTGGGTTAACAGTGAAATAGGTTGACAACATCATCCTTTTCTTTAATCAATATTTAAAACTGGGTTACGAGATTGTCAAAAGGGCTATGAGCTTGCTGTATTCCTTCAGTGATCATCATTTTCTTATGTTCTTTGCTATTTTATTTTGTGTTTCTTCTGTTTGATTGGAGAATTTTTTACAGAAAACTTTAATCTAACTTGACTTGTTGAAACTTATTTTAGTGTTCGATCTATCTTGACAAGTATTGCACGAGGTATGAGAGGCCAAAATCTACCAGAAGAAAATCTACCACATTCTTCTGGCTCAACTCATGCTCCGAGTCTTGAAAAGGTATTTATATTTCACACTCGAAAAATTCCTCAACTTCACTGTCCAGTGGAGCTCACCTTGATTTGCTAAAACCATCAGTGTGGTGTTCCATGGATTCTATAAACTATGCAACCAGCGGTTCTTCAGACAAGAATGTGCCAGAAGCCACTGCAAGTGTTATCTCTGGAAAAGCTGATATATGGCTTCTGTTTGTAAGATTGATGAGTTTTTTTCTCGTGCACACTTGAGATATACCCATTCAAGAATGTACCCATTCAAGGCATTCAACCAGACAATTGAGATATAGTCTATGGTTTCGCTTAATATACAGTCTATGGTTTCACTTAATCCTTTCCCTCTTTGTTTCTTTAGTTCTTTGTGGAGGAAGTTGACTAGTTCTGCTTGATTCACTAGCCTGCTTGTTTAACTTGCTCAAAATTATGGCTGTTTCCAACAGTAATTTCCAAGTAAACATGTCACTGTAGGCATTAAATATTGGAGAAATTAAAATATTATGTTTCACTGATATAGTTACTTGCGTTCTTTCCGAGAATTACTCCATGTACAAAATTATCAGGATGTGGTTGGTATGTTGGAAAATCTGCTTGCTTTTTAAAACGGGGACATATATATATAAGGATTACACTTATATTTTGTTTTCTGTTTTCTATTTATATTTTTGTGAAGGACGGTTGTTTTGTCACTGATAATCTCAGCTATTTTCAATTTTATGTTTTTGCTACTATATTTTAGTTTCTTTTTTATTTTATTTTGGATGGTACTCCGAAACACTTTCATACCAAATAAAAGGCGAAAAATATTGGGTTTATGTTTACTTCATGGATGTTCATACTTTCGGTAACACAAATTGATGAAGCTGCTGCCCTTGTTAAGGAACTATTTTTTTAACCTCTGTATAAACGATATCAGGAAAACTGAAGCATAGTATCTTAATTCCCTTTCTAATGAAATAATCCATTTGAAATTTATTTATTTCTGATCAGACTGTAGGCTGGTTAAAGTCAACTTACAAGACCCTGCTTTTCTAAACTATTTGCTTTTGTTGGTTCTGCTACATAATAACAGGAATTATAAACGAGAAGGAAAATATATTTCACGAATATAATTGTTATAACATGCCCTTACATAAAGTACTAAACCTTATAATTGAAGGGAATTGGAACATTCATCGACATCTTTCAAGTGTTGGATATGTTGAAATCCTTGGCCTTTTCAGATCTGCCTATTATTATGCATGCACTCATATCTACTTTGTGAGTTATCAATCTAGTCAAAGTGTTCTTAGATAATGGGATGTAAGCAGGTTATGAATTCACATTTTTCCTTCTCCTTGGCTTGTATTCTTTTTCTATGTTTGACTTAGTATGTTTTAGTAGAGAAATAAACCTCATTAGTTAGTAAGACATATTGCTATAACCAATACATAGTATATATAGGTTTATTTCTAATTTTTAAATTTTATTTTAAATGTGTAGGAAAATGTGGGTGATGCAATTGGAAATTGTAACGACCCGACCGGTCATTTTGAGCTCTAGCGCGTCGTTCAGCAGTTTAGATGTTGCCAAAATATTTTAAATGTGTGAATGTTGCTAGCAATTCAGAGTGTTCACGAAGTGCTAATGGAAGGATTTCAAGGAATCTGGCCGTTTAATTGCGCAAGATCATGTCAATAAGAAATAAAGAATCTTGATGGATTTCAGAGTTGTGTAATAGTGGCTTCAAGCTAAGTGGGAGAGTCCCACCACCTACAGTTGGATTGCGTGGTCGTCTAATTATGAGATTTCCGGTTATTAGCATATGATTGGTTATTTCAGCTAAGGGAGAGAACATAAGAGGTAATTTGAGCAAAGAAATTGTTAAAGGTGTGCGATGGTTGGCCTTATTGACCTATGCTCAGACTTGGGGAAGGTTCAAGATTAATGCTTTATATAGATGCGGGTTTCCAGGAAAACGATTCGGCCGGGTGCTTCGTCGAGAGAGTGTTCATATGCTAGACGATTCATGGAGTTGATCATATTCGGGACCAAGTCAGAGCGGGTGGCTCTCAACAACGGTCCTGGTGGATTCAAAAGTTAAAGTGTGGTGCCGAATGATTTTGAGCCCATAAGCATGGTTAACAACCGAGCTTTTGCAGCAGATTATGAAAGGACTTGGAATGTTCTATGATATTTTCGACTTGCAGTGTAGTATTTGCAAGAAGAATGAGAAAAAGACTTCGGATTCGTAGAAAAGTTATCAGAATGGGTGTATTAGTGGAAGATGCGAATGTGCGTGCAAGGAGAGTGTGAATGATTCATGGGTTTGGAGACAATGTGGTCTCGTGGAATGGAGTCACTTAAGATGAGTGCGGATTTAGGTTGGTGATGTAAGGGATAAAGCTATTATTATCTCTAAGGCAAGTTAAGGATGAATTAGAAGAAGTTGGATTAATTGACCATAGTTGAATTGGCATACTGGTGGCAGGGATCAGTTCCTTCAGCGTGATTGAGTTATGAAGGTGATTTGTGACGGTACATTGGGTTTTTGAGTAAACGACCTCGGATTCGGGATTCAAAAGTTCCAATAGGTTCGTATGATAATTTCGGACTTGAGCGTATGTTTGGATCGGGTTTTGGAAGATCCGGGAACGTTTCGGCACCTATTGTGAAAGCTAGCATTTTTGGAAGAATTTCATAAGTTTGGATTGAAGTGCATTTTAGTGATATCGATGTCCGTTTGGGATTCCGAGTCTGGGAATAGCTCCGCGTGGTGATTATGGTGTTGGGAGCGCGATCGAAAGTGAATTCGTAGGTCTGTGGGTCATTTTGGAGTCATTTGGCTAAAGATAGAAATTTGAAGGTTTTTGAGAAGTTTGACCGGAAGTGGACTTTTTGATATCGGAGTCGGATTTTGATTCCGGAAGTTTGAGTAAGTTCGTAATGTCAAATATGACTTGTGCACAAAATTTGAGGTCAATCGGACGTGATTTGATGAGTTTAAACATCGGAAGTAGAAGTTTGAAATCTTAAAGTTCATTAAGCTTGAATTGGAGTGCGATTCATGGTTTTTGCGTTGTTTGATGTGATTTGAGGCTTCGAGCAAGTTCGTGTTATATTTTTAGACTTGTGCGAGTATTTGGTCTAGAGCCCCGGGGGCTCGGGTGAGATTCGGGATAGCTTCGGAGTGATTTGCTAAGAAATGGGACTGCTGGTACTAGTATGACCACATTTGCGGTGTTTTGGTCGCAAATGCGACCATCGCATTTGCGAGAGGGAGCTCGCATTTGTGAACCTGGGGCTGTTGAGGAGAGATTGCATTTGCGAGGGGGCCATCGCTTTTGCGATGTTGTCCTCTTCACATTTGAGAGGATTTTTGTCGCAAATGCGACCATCGCAATTGCGACCCGGAGGTCGCAAATGCTACTTCTGCGTTTGGTGAAATGGCTTTTTATTCCAAGACTTAGCCCATTTCTCTCATTTCCCACTTGGCCTTAGGCGATTTTTGAGAGTATTTGAGGAGGGGTTTCATCATCATCAAAGAGGTAGATAATTTCTACACAACATGAGTTAAATACATAGACTATGAGTAGATTAACATGTGAAGATTAGGGAAAATCAAGAGTTTAGATGAAAAACCTATAATTTGGTAAAAACAAAATTTAACCACGAAATTTGTAAAGGGGTGTATACAAATGAAGCATCCTTTTGAGTCAACTTGGTCAAGGGTGATGCGATAGATGAGAATCCCTGAACAAACCGGCGATAATAGGCTGTCAACCCAAGAAAGCTGCAAATCTCTGTGGCTGAGAACAGTCTGGGCCAACTCTGAACCGCCTTTATCTTCTTTGGATCAACCTGAATACCCTCGCTGGACACCACGTGCCCCAAGAAATCCACTGAACTGGGCCAAAACTCATACTTGGAGAATTTTGCATAAAGCTTCTCCTCCCTTAATCTCTGCAACACAACTCTCAAATGCTCCGCGTGCTCCTCCTGACTATGCAAATACATCAGAATATCATCAATGAAGACTATGACAAACGAAGCGAAAATCGCTGAGCAGAAGCTATATTTTTTAGGGTTGGTCATTTTATTCTCATTTTGAGACTTGGAGCTCGATTTTGGGTGACTTTGTAGAGTAATTTCATCACAAAGATTGGGGTAAGTGTTTTATAATCGGATTTGATTATATTTCGTGATTCTATCTTCATTTTTGGTAATTGGATTATGAACTTTAAAAGAAATTGGGGGTTTTAGCCTAAAGTTTCATAGATTGAGTTTTTGAGTTCTGAACACCTATATGGAGTCGGAATTGAATGTAACTAGTATGGTTGGACTCGTTGTGGAATGAGTTGTCAGATTTTTTAAGTTTCGTTGGGTTTCGAGGCGCGATCCCTAGTTTGACTTTTTTTTCGATTTTGGGCTTTTGATTAAGGATTCGACTAGCACTATTGGGACCCATAGTGGTCGTTCCTTCCTGCTTAGTTATTTGTTTAATTGCAGATATGTACTCAGTCGTATTCATCATTACATATCATATCCCTATCTCTATTATTGTATATTGTCACATCTCATATCATTGACCTGGGCTGCTTAGTATGAGTGTTGTGAACCGGAGAGATTGGAGAGATTGATGATTGAGTGATGCCGAAGGCCTGATTGTAAGGTTATTGATACTATAAAACGTGAGTTGTCTGTGCAACACGTGAATTTTCTGCGGATTATAGCGCTTGGGCTGATGGAGTCCCTCTGAAGTCTGCACACACCTACTGAGCGCAGTTGCTAGCAGTCAGTATGTTTGGGCTAGATCTGCCCTATAAAGTATTGAGTGATTGAGTGTGTCGAGTGATTGAGCGTGATGACTGGAAAGTGTGAGATAGTGAGATCGAGTACTCTGAGAGTGTGAGTACATGGTTTAATCACTGAGATACATTACACTTGACATGCGTACTTGAGTTACATGCATCTCTCATGAGTTCATCGCTGAGATACATTGCACTTGGCATGCGTACTTGAGATACATGTATATAGATGCATTTTCTTTCTGCTACCTAATTTTGGTGACATTTATGATTTCACCTGTATATTGACATGTAGGCATAGAGATGTATTTTTCTCATACTATCTGGAAACAAATATCTTATTTATTGTTGAAAGGATTTTGGGAAAAATCACAATTTTCAAACTTGTTCATGTATTTTTTTTGTGTTTTCGATGAAATATTTGAGATCTACTATGTACTTGAAAAGTATGTGCATCTTTCTATATATTGTGAACGAGCTGAGTCATTTTTTGTACCATCTTTATTATATTGTTATTAACTGTTGCTGTTAATTGGAGTTGGACTCTGACCCATGTCCCAGCTCGTCACTACTTTCAACCTAAGGTCAGGTATGTTTTTATTGAGTACATGGAGTCGGTTTTACTCATACTACACTTCTGTGCCTTACGTGAAGATGTTGGATGCGGATGTACAGTGCGAGATGGATCGGAAGATGTACCTGCGTTCTAGTCATAGCTTCCTCTT